CCGTTTACGTTGACGTCCGCGAAATTGTACGCGGAGAGAATTTTCTCTTATAATTTATCCCGAGAGTCATGCGATCGTGGGACAACATGGTACTTCGACGACCTTTATGAGAATTTTTTTGAAATTTTACCGACAAAATGTGTACTAAATATAATTACTAGTAAAATGTATGATAAAGTTTCGAAAAACTCTCATAAAGTTCTTCGAAATGCCACGTTGTCCCACGATTACGTGATTTTCAGGATAAATTTTAAGAGAAAATCCTCTTCGTGTACTAACGGATGGTTACATTCGACGATAAATATTTTAAAATGCAGCTCGTCAAGTTGCACTGTACAAAAATTAATGCAAATGTGTAAATTGAACAATAAAATTATATAGAAATATGGCAAAAATATATTTTGTTTGAGGTTTACTTTAATAAAGATTTATTTCATCGATCAGCCAAGTTGCTGCGCATCGAAACCCGCGGAATTGTTACGGACGGTAATATTTGGCGAGATTTTTTCTCAAAATCAGGTCGTAAATTTTCAAAGAACACGATCGAAAATTATAACTGCGGAATTTCCAAGACACCTTATACGCGTACACGCGACTCGTTGAAACGTACCCAATGATGACAACGACTATTAGCTGTTGCTCTTCCGCACCGGTGGACCTCCGTCTATTAAATTCGAAAGTCTATTAATTTCGAAAGCGGGCGCCGAGATAAGAGCGCGAGCGTCGAAAGTGGTGATTCACCATTTCGGGGAACATTATCTCTGAGAGAATCCGCGACGGAGATAAAATCGTGCAATAAATGAGCGGTAATGATTGTCGATAATGAGGTGATTATTGGACGATTACGGAATCGATCAACAAATGAGCAGGCGGTGGTTAATTCGCGACTCTACATATAAGAGCGATTTGCAGAAAAGAATTCCGATTGGTCGCAACTGGGAAGTCCAGCGACATATTTTGCGAGCGACTCGAAATTTCCACAAATTACCGTAATGTCTCGACAGGGATCCGACTCTCATCTGTTAAATTATATGGAGGCATCTCATTTCGAGTGAAAAAAACTGCGAGAAGACACCCAGATATCTATTGTGCAATTGGAAAGAGACAAAGCCGCTCATTTCTAGCGTTTTCACTATATGTTGCAAGATACAGAATTGACCCCCTGAGGATGCCCATTAATTTAACAGAAACCCCGCTATCCCATATTAGGATCCTGTCTCATAATACGGGACTTTCCTCCATATTCGTGAATAGTGATTCACCGACCGAGCGGTTTCTTGGCTAATACTGAAACTTGACTTAATCGTAGACTTACGATACAAATCCTCTAATAACAGGTAAAGGTTAAAAGTTGTCCAAGTTAACACAAACGAGCAGACAAATGACAAATTACGAGCGATAAACCGCGAATCACGAATAGCGTGGTAAGTAATAACGAGTGTCCAACGAAGTTCCACGAGTCACAAATCACGAACCCGTGCATAGGTCGGGGCTAGCTCGAGGTTGGGTCTACAATAGACGCAGCAGGTCGCAAGAAATCGGCCAACGACAGTCGACTATTCTTCTCGTAGTCGACTGTGACTGGTCGATTTCTTGCGGCTTGCCGGCTCTATTGTAGATCCAACCCGTCGTGGTTGGCACGTTGAGAGAAAGATCCGCACGATCCTCCGCGTCGAGTTCGAGATGACAGATCTATGACGGAGGAACGGCTTACGTTTCGCTTCGCGGAATAGGTGGGTAAGGTATACGCGATACGCGGCACGCGCGTGAATCACGAGGCCGCGGAGAGCGCGCCGGGGAGAACAATACGCCTAACGAGCGACGGCTTTCTCGTCGGATCGCGAAGCGAGGCGAATTTGATACGCGCGACGCCGAAGGGACTCCGAGCTCGCGGAGATAAAGTTTGACGTGGCGATTGGTCGACCCTTCGGACTCTAAACCACGGCCTTACGTACAGGTCTGGAAACAACGATGATGGGGGTAGACTCCCTTAATGTCCACGTTTTTACTTCGGTTTTCAGCCGCAAGGTGCCGCGTAAGATCTAGGAGTGTCACGTGCGACACGATGACACAAAACCGCATGTACGTGTGTATCAATATTTTACAATGCCGTTCTTCCTAGAGACGCATAAAATTAATGACTTCAATCTTTTTTTGGCACTTTAAAAGCAGAGCAATTTTGTTTCACAGTTCTACACCCTGTATTGCACTTCGGTACCGATTAAGGCATTTCAACAAAAATTATTGTACAATTTACTGTTATTGAAACGGCCGCAATTTCAATTCTCACAGAGCTACACGTGACCACAGACTTCTATAATATGTATTATAAACAATGAAAGAATATTTAGACCGGACTGTGAGCGGAGCGAACCGATAGTGTGTATCGGGCTTTACGAGCTACCGATCTGCCCGAAAATCTGTTGAAATCAACACCTTCCGGCTCACGTAGCGGAAAGTCCTCCATTACGAGATAGCAGGTTTTCAACACCCAAATTCAATCACAAATCTTTTTTTCGCAACGATCTAACGATGACTTTTCCACTAAACAGATCTTGCAATAAATTCGTGGTGAAATCAACTGACGACGCCTGTTAATTTAACAGAAACCCATATTAGGACCCTGTCTAGTAATAGGGGACTTTCTTCTATATTTAACGACAACCCCATCTTAATATGCCTGGCGGTTAATTAATTGCAACATTTAAGGGATCTAATCTGGAATGCGCCGAGTCCACGATTAGCGCGTGATTCCGATGAATAACAAACTCGGCCCAGCCCGTTCGAGACTAAATACCGAGGCGTTGCCGTTGCGAAAAGCGACGAGATTCTCGCCCAAGAGGAGAGAGATCGGCGGAGTCACCGCGTGCAGGCTGCGGCCGGTCGCGAGATAGAGAGAGAGCGAGAGAGCGAGAGAGCTGTCAAGCGCACGCCGGCCGCGCCGATCGACCTCGTGCACGGGGCGACAGAAAACGTACGTGACGCGCGGACGTCGCCTCCCGGGCGGCGCCGGCGTCGGCGTCAGCGTCGGCGTCGACGTCAGCGTCGGCGTCGGAGTCGACGGCACGCGGCCGCGGCCGCGGCCGCTCGCGAGCGGCGCGCATGAATGAAACGAGCGAGACTCTTTCTAAAGGACGGTACACAGGGGTCAATCAGGGTAATCTCCCGCGACGGCCAATGATGGAATTAATAATCGTCATTCTCGCCGGCCGGCGGAATTGACGGCCGCGTCCCGCTCCGGCGATCTCACGACGATCTCCGCCGAAAGAGGAAGCTCTTCTCGACGGCACGCGTTCTACGCGTTTCGCGTCCGCCGAACGTTGCGTTGCACTTTCCTACGTAATAGCGGCGCAAATCGATCCCACCGTTCGAAGAGAAATTAACCATTCGGCGCGTCGCCGGGTAAAAGGTTCCATTGACGGATCAGCTCCGCGCTGCATTACCTCGCGGAGAAGATAGAATCTATATTGCACGTCGCGGATTTTTATTCGCGGCCGTCACGGCAACGCCTAACGTCGGACTCGCACGAAGCCGTCTTATCCGTACGTCCGTTCCGCGATGCGACTGCCTCTCTTTCACGTTCCACGCCGGTCTCACGTTTCTTTCATTTTAATTTCTGTGAATCGTGCGAGGAGCCCCCTAATATGAGACAGTGGGGTTTCCGCTAAATTAACATCGTCTGTCGGTTTCACCGTGAATTTGTTGTCCCTGGCGTGAAGTCTCTATTCTGGTGGAAAAAAATTGTCTCTAAAATTTCTGGAGTGAAAACACCAGCCGTGGAGTGAATATCTCACTCAAGAACTTTCGAGGCAGCTCATCGTTGGTGCGCGCAAACGTCGCGAAAGAAAGATTCGCGAAATTGAACGCCGGAAGCCGGGCTGTCTCATATTAGGCGCCTATCTAATAACAGGGGGCATATTCCATTGTGCAATCGCGTAAGTTCTTTTATCCTTTTTTACTTACTAACTTATTATTTCATAACTGCGTTGTTGTTGATTTGCAGTGTCACTCGAAAAGGACCCAAAAGTATAGAGTCGCAACGTTGCGTAATAAACTAATTAAATAACTAGCCAGTTGGGTCGACTGCAAGTTTCCCCGTCTCAATTTTTACTCATTACCGGTGACAATAGCTGCAAACTCTCCTTTCGTCTTTTACTTCCACCTCGCGTGCAAGCGGCGTGTTCGGCTCATCGCGAATCCCTGCGACACTGTCGACGATGCGTTTCAGGGGGGACTCGGCCCAGAGCGTTTAACGATTCCGATTCCACGGCCTCGCGCTCCACCCCGCCGAGCCGGGGCGAGAGAGCGGCGCCCCCGACTAGCCAGCGCGAGATTCGAGCGCGTAAACGCCGGTGCTCGAGGAAAATTGCGTCTTTCGCGGCGGCGGTCTACGAAACGAACAAATCTCCGTGCGGGGGAGGGCAGGGAAAGGGGGCGGCGACGCCTATATCTGCCTCGATCGAAATAACAGCGAGTAGGCAGGCTTGCTACTCGCCAGCGCTAATCTCCCTACCGGGTTCATACCGGCGTTATCGTCCTTCATTAATTTCCTCCACGGGAGGAAGGCGAGCGAGGCCGGTCTCTCTGCCTTTACCGGCCTGACGCCGGGGTTTACGCCGCGGATAGTGGGGCGGCAAGTCGAGTGGCAAATTACTCGCTTACCTTCCCCGACAAACGACGGCGCGCACAGAAGTTTAAGCGAGCGAAGCCCGCCGGCACGACACCTATTCCTCGTGCGTCTCCACGGGTGCGCGCCACGGGTTCGCCACGATTTTCGCTATTTTTGGAGTGGCCTGCCGTTTAACGTCGATCCGCACACAAGTCCACGTCCCCGTTTTCCTCGGCGTGGATGGGGGGAGAGAAAAAAAAAAGATTGATAGGGCGGGACGCGCGCGCGAGAAAGCGATTTTTATAGCGCTCGGCCGGGGCGCCGTTCTATCGGCCGAGGAGGACGGGAGGTTCTCTCCTCCTTTCACGCGAGAGTAAACGACGAAACTCACCGAGTAGGAGCAGTTTGAGTTCCCGCCTGGCATCCCGCTTGTCCCTCCGCAGTTGCCGCTCGATTTCCTGGTTGATGCGTTTCTGTTCCTTCGCCTCTTCCGACAGGCAGCACGCCATGGCTCAGAACAGCGGAATCCTCCTTTGACGGAGGAGGTGGCGAAGGCGAAGAAGGAGGAGGAGCAGGAGGAGGTAGAGGGAAAGGAGGGGAAAGAGGAGGGCGCGCGAGCGATTCGCAGCGGCAGCGAGCGCTGCTCGCCGATCGGCGGCGACCTTCGTTGCGGCTGCTGCTCCTCTCCGCCTCTCTCTCTCTTTCTCTCTTTCGCGCACGCGGCCGACGGCGCGGCGCAGCCGGCGAGCGCGTTACGACTCAAGCCGGCGAGCGGGTCCCGATCGAGGACGGCGGGGGACCGGGTATTATCTCGCCGCCGCGGCGACGACGGCGACGGCGACGATGGCGACGGCGACGGCGATGGCGTTGGCGACGGCGAGCGGGCGACGACGATGTTGGTGACGCCTCGTCGCCGTCCTCGTGGTCCCCGTCTCCTTCCCTCTCCGTTTCTCTCGTCCCGGTGGTGCCTCTCTCACTCCCGGCTGCCTCCCACTACCGCCGCCGCTACTACTACCGCTACTACTACTACTACGGACACCACCGGCGACGGCGATGGCGACGGCGACGACGGTCACGTCGACGGCAGCGGCGGCGACGACGATGACGGTGGTGTTTCACTCACTCGCGGCAACTCACCACTGCCACCACCACCACCTCCTTCTTCCTCACCACCACCACCACCACCACTGGCACTCGCAGCACCGGCACGACGACGACGGCGACGGCGACGGCGGCGAATGCGACGACGACGGGGGAACGTCCCCGGCGGCGCACCCGTGTTTTCCCCCCTCAACGACGGCGGCGTCTACGCAGCGCCGCTGCTCCTGGCGGGGCTCGACGACGCCAGCGACGCATCAACGCGCGTTCGCGCGCCTCGCTCCCGCTACGCCCTCGTATCGCTCCGTCCCGCTTGCTCGCCGAGGCGCGCTACGCGTGTCCTCCCGCACACGCACGTAACTCTCTTCTCACTCCCTCCGTTACTCACGCAGGCACGCACGCAGCACACATGTAACCACCGGTGGCCGCGCACGCTTCGCCTTTCCCACGGGCGCTGTAAACCTCGACGGACGTTCCCTCGCGGAGGGCGAGGTCCGTCTGTCCCTGCCTCCCGCGGCTCACTCTCGCTCGCTCTCTCCCTCTCGCCCCGCGGCTGGTATTCGCGTCGCCGTTCCTATCCCGGCGGAGCGCTCCGGCGCGCGCCTCGAACCACCCGGCGACACGCACGCACACACGGGGACCGGGACCGGGACGATCTCTCTCGGGATCCTGGGGACGGATCGCGCGCGCTCACCCGCGTAGTACTATCACGCACGGCGCGGCGGCCAGAGAGAGCTCGCGACGTCGGCGGCGATCGGCTCCCGGCTCGCGCGGTGTTGGGTGTGGTAACCCACCGGCGCTCCGTCTCCCTCTTCTCTCCCGCTGTCTCGCTCTCGCTCTCTCTCCCTCTCGCTCGCTCCCTCTGTCTCGCTCGCGCGGGCCCGCTCTCCTCCGTGACACACGCGAAAAGCTGTCGCTGCTGCTGCCCGCCGCCGCTGCTGCTGTTGCCGCTCCGACGCACTCGACGGCACGGAAACACGACACGAGGCTGGCACGAGACGAGCGCGGCATACGACGACGCGCGTGGTCGCGTTAACGGGCGCGACGACGTGTCGGATCGCCGGATCACGAGGGAGAGGGTTCACCGCGACGTTTCGTCGGCTCTGTCTTCTCTCCCTCTTTCGCCCGTCTAGCACTCTTTCTCTGTCTGTATTACTGTCGCTGCTGCTGCTGCTCCTGCTGTTGGCTGCTGCTGCTGCTGCTGCTGCTGTTGGCTGCTGCTGCTGCTGCTGCACGAGCGCCCACACCTCTCGAGCGGAGCAACTCCTTGCGACACGCGCCGCGCCCGTCCGGCGCGCAGCTTTTATGAAGCGTTGCGCGAGCCGCGAAATCCTGTTAGACCAAACCAGATTGGCGGAAGCCCCGGCGACACGGCACCCACGGCCCCAGGCTCCTCGGTTCCTCGTCGCTCGCGGCTGGCTGCCTGCCTGCGTATCAACCAGCACCGTGTAGGGCGCGGGGGGCGCGCACGTGTCCGCTAACGAGATTAAAATCGGCGAATAGGAGGAGGCGCGGCCGCCACCCGCCGGGGAGGAGGCACGGAGAACGTAACGGCGCGGCGCTGCGGGCGCCGCCGGTCGCCGCGCGCACCGCCTTACCGACCGAGCGCCGCCGCGGGAAAATTCGAAACGACGTGACACGCCGCAAGCGCGATAGTAGCCTTCATCTCACGCAAATAGAAAGCGGACATTTAAGTTCTCAGGTCTTTTTAAATGACGATTCATCGCGTTTCCACGAGCGACGATTCTTCAACTGACTACACTGTTACTTTTTCAATCTGTCTAATTTTATCCTCTTTCATCTCTGTCTCCCGTATAAGGCTTTTCCTCCTTACAGCAGTGGTTTTCGACGCGCGACGCAAAACGGAAATTCTTGTCCATAGAATTCCCAGATTGATCGGTCGTTCTGCCTTAGACTTTCGTTTTTTTTATTATTATTAAATGAAAAGCCGCGATGCTGTGAAAGAAAAAAAATCTGTTAATCTTATGAACAAATTGTCAACTCGATATTTAGATTAAATGACGTTACAAAACGCACGAAGCACAAATTAAGTTGAAACGAAACGCACTTCGTTCCCCACGTTTCGCATCTATGAATCAGTAAAAACGCATGTCACAAAACTGTTGCCGTTGTTTGACGAGGGGATTAAGTTTAGCGTGTGGGGCTTCGCGAAGCCCATAACATCAACAGATTTCTAGAATGCAATATAAACTCTTAATAAATCAAAGTTCTAAAAAAAGGAAATGTATTCGAGAAACGTCGCGCTCGCTCCAGTTTTTGTCCGCATCAATCAACTTTTCAGCGCAGTTTCTTTACTTTCTTTCGGCTCGTGAAAAGCTGCGGCTTTTCCTAGATATACGATATAAACTTGGTGCGATATAAACTTGGTAAAAGTAAAAGAGAGGAAATTTGTGGTAATTGATGTGATGGTTTAATCGTCATCTCTTCCGAATGAATAAACGTTTTAAAGAACTAAAAGATACGAGATAGAGAGAAATGATCAGTTACGCGCCCATTACAATGAATCTTTATTTCCATTGGAGACAATACTTTTTCAGTGTTTACCTTTGCCTTATTTGTCTATTTTTGTCCTCCTAACTGCGTTATATATTAGTATATAAAATATGAATTCTCGTAAATGGCACACGTGGATCATCCGTGTCCATGCATCGTCACCTCAAATCTTTCAAGTTTTCGAAAAAAAAATCTTTACCATGATATAAATAATCCTTTTTTTTTCTTTGAAGCAAAAATTACTCTCCCAGCATTGAAGAGGCAAATTGCAAACGGACACGTGCGACCCACATATACTATTAGAAACTCTCTGACAAAATAAACATTTTACTTTTCGCAAAATTTTTGCTTAATATGCATATTTGTAAGTATACTGGTCAACTTGGATGTTAAAAAGGTTTTACTTCCGTGTCTACGGCGATAGATAGGACTACTCTGTCTATGACATAAAAAATACTTTTGTATTTTACTATTGACTTTCATTATGTCTTCCTTTTTATGTATTTTTGTTTTACTAATAATAAAATAAAAATAAAGTTTTTCTCAGTTTTTGTAAGGTATTTGTCATACATCCAGGGTCCTTCTAAAGTCCCCTGCATTTGCACGAGATGATAGGAAAGTGTATCGTGATACATCGGATACAAGAGTGAAATGCTGTCGTTTCGCTGCCCTTCCCGATATATGCGCATATCTTTGCCAAGTCTACACGAAATGATAATGTCGGTGATAGATCGACATTTTTATTTCTGTTTAGACGAGGGTGCTTCCACGTCGAAGGGGCCATTTTGTTAGTCATTTCAGGATTCCCTTAATACATGAATGACAGAAGAATATAGACATTATTTGTCTCTCTCACCCTCGACTTTTATATAATTCGTTTGACACATTTATTGTACGTCTGAATGCTATAAAAAATTATTTAATGCACAGTTAGCGAGAGGATCTTTTTGTTACATCCGTTCTTAGTATTTAAATGCATCATCTTCACTTGATGAATACTTCTTGTGAGGTTTTATATAATCATATAATTATTATTGCACGTGTGATGTAAATTGCAAGCACGAAAGGATTAATCGAATCTGTTCGAGATCTTTTTTTTTAATACAAATTTGTACAGATTTGTTTTCCCATTTTTGGGGGAAGGAACATTTAAGAAACCAAGAGAACTCATTAATAATATTTCTATCAAATTAACCAAATAAGGGTACAACAATCAATTCTTAAAACCAAATGGCTTCTCTTACAAAAGGGATACTCGAACTTTCCTATTCTTTCGCAGTTTTAGACCAGCGTGATAAAATAAAAAGACACACAATTTCTCTCAAAGCTAATATTTTCTCTTAATGCTACCGCTGTAAGTATGTACGTGTATATGTATATATTATTATTGTTGTTGTTGTTATTATTATTACAACACTATTTATTACACAAGTTGCGAATACAAGATTGGTTCGGCAGATCTAACGAGTATTGATTGAGTCTACAAAAGTTTCGGGATTGGATCGTTACGTATTCGTTTTCTATTCTGACAACATGTGAATAGATACGGGAGCGATAATAATTATAGCAATATATATAGTAACAATAGTAATAAAATAATATAATAATAAACGTTCTCTCTCTCTCTCTTTCTTTCATCGCTACCCGATTTCTACATACATGTACATAAGATTTGCGGATACAAATGAATAAAACCTGCGCGAAATAATACACAAATGGACTCAACTGACGCAATTCGCGACGCTCCAAAAGGCGGAGAAACAAGAAAAGAACTATCAATCATAAATACACAGAAGCTATACTCTCATCTCATTTATACATCGTAATATTTATTTCTCTCACGTATCAGCCCTTCGACATCTATTATTACGTCGTTGAAAAATTTGGCATGCGAATCGTGGCGAGATTTCAATGGGAGCTATTGCTAGACTGCTCTCGAACATTAGGCGAGTAAATAGAACCTTACCTTACGAATGCAGGTAGTTGGACCTTGAAAATTTTTACGACCGTCCTACTCCCGTTGAATGGGGAGGGGACGATTTTCTCGAGTGGCGCGCTCGTTCTTAAAACTTGAAGGTGTTACGTCTCCTAGCGATAATTTTTTCAGTGGCCACAAAGTTATCTCGTAAAATACTCTTAAATCGTATGTATAGATCTATGTACAGTTTCATAAAATAATATTAATTTAATATATAGCTTTCGTTCATTTTTATATAATATTGCATGATCGTTGTGTACGCGTGTGTACGTGTTTCTTGTTGCTGTATATATACGTGTTACATTATATTATTTAGTAGTCGCTTAAATATCTCGTTTGATTATTATTCAATGATGTGTATCCGTACGTTTGATATGAGAGGGTCAATCCCATATTTTCCTTGACGAATAAGAGTGAACGTTGGCACAGACAGTGGCTGGGTTTAAGGCACTTTGGGGTGATTGATTCTCTCCGCAGTACCCTCCAGCATATCTTATCGAATTCTCCCCGCTCCCCCCTCCCCCTTAATCCCTCCTGCAGCCCTGCGTCGCCTGCTCTCTCTCCGTTTATCTACGTACACGTCGCGCGTAATATTATTCCCGCGTGACCGCGCGCGGCTCTTATCTCCCACTTAATTGCGCGACGTCTTTAACTACTTTAAAGTAAAATACGCTGTCTCTGATGAGCATTGGAGTGTAAATGGCGTGCCGAGCTCAGCTCTCACAGCGGTTTCGTGAAGTTCGCCGGGAACATACCCTTATCGTTGGTGCCCTCCTTGATACCCATTAACCAGCCTTCCTCCTGTAACGAGAAACAAAGAGTGAGAGGACACGCTCAGATTTCGTCACAGACACTGCAGACCTTATTTATTCGCAGGATTTACGCACCTGCTCCTCGGGATCGTCGTATTCCACGACGCGAATAATCTCGCCGACGTCGAACGACAACTCGTCCACGTCCTCGCGACTGTACTTGTAAGTGGCTTTAACCCTGTATAAAACGCCTGGCGGCAGATTGTCGGTTGTCGCCCCTATAGAGAAATTAGCAGCATTTTCATATTCCGCCTCTAGAACGACCGACTCCGCCCCGTTAGTCATGGACCTGTCTGTGATTTCGTTCGCATGGAGACTTCGATATGGTAACCAATTATGCGCAGAGCTTCGTGTCATTCGTCTAACTGCATAATTAACGTTTAATCTCGCAACTAGGTCAGATTAACTACGATCTTGTTTCGGCAAGACCATGCACAAAGGGGCAGGCAGCGTTACTACTATCGTATGTACAATCACCCGGTACTGCAAATTTAGTAACATTGAATTCACTGAATTTACGTTGCACACGCGCGAGTTTACTTGGAAATTGGAAACAATCCGCTGAGCTCGATTCTACGGAAATAAACCGATCGATTATGCTGTTCGTTTGCCTTGGCGAAATACGATTCAATGATTCTACCTCGCACTTGTCTCAACCAGAATCTCTGTTACTTAATTGTGCAGGTATTTTTAATATTACGGTAAAATTACATTTAAAAAAAAGGTGTTTAAATGTGCTCTCTGCATCTAGAAACATCCTATTTTATACAAGCAAATCAAAACGCTTAAAAAATTTGTCGACAAAGTACGATTGTGCAATATGTATGTAACGTACAATTTAGGAATTTGTACCAATTTTCCAAACGTATTTATTGCCTACAAAATTAAATGTCACGGTGGTCGAATTGGTGAGACGCCCGCCTAGTGAGAGGGAGGTCCCAGGTTCAAACCCTGGCCGAGATATTATTTTTTGCAATGGACTTGAAATTAAAATTATTTAGACACTAATGTCTTGTCTTGGCTCTTAATTACTCCTTTATTATGATACTTCGTGTTTGCGTTTTCATATTAGAGCCTTATGAATTTGATTAATTGTTAAAATAGAATGTTTCTAGATGCAAACGGCACATTGTAGATCAGACTTAAAGAAATTCGAACGTGAAGTATCACTTATAATATGCGCGACTTCAGCTGAAGTCGCTACGATAGGACAACGTTGGGAAGGGAAGCGCGTTAAAGAACACGGCAAGGTTCTAAATTTGCAAGCGGCTTACCGACTGGAATATCGTACAGCTCCTCCACCTGTTTGGAAGGCGCGACTGCGTTCTGCGGCGACGCGTCTTGATTATTGAGAGAATTATCATTGCTGTTAGCGTTGCTGTTAACGTTGCTGTTAGCGTTGCTGTTAGCGTTGCCGTTTATCTGGGTGGTCGGCGACGTGTCTCTGGCGGCGGGCTCGGTGTCGTCCAAAGCTGAAACACGCGAGAGGAAGCACACTCAAAACTGAACTGCCAAGCCACAAGGCGGCCTTGCGGAACTCTCAAGACCCTCTTCCCGAACGTCTCTCTGTCCCTCGCGTCTCGTTCTTCGCGGGCAGCGAGGACATTACATGCGAGTGTTAGCGACACACGTATATAATTAATGCACACGCGCACAAATCTAACTCTAACGAAAATACAGCACGATAATTACCTCCTGAGATATTGTTCTGCGCTGGCTGCGTGTTAATTATTAGGCTGAAACAAATCAGAGTTATTAATATTGTATAACTACACCTCTCGGCTTTTGCACTTTGTACAATTATTACTTTATCGTATTTTATGTAACAACCGCCTCAATATCACCGTTCTACGCGATAGCGGTGCACTGCAAAATTATGTTTTTACCTTATAATTACTGTCTTTACACGCAATTCCTCCGTGCGTTTAATTAGTAATCTCGATTTTGCAGAATGTCGATTTTATAATACTTACGACGAGTTCGCGTTAGGCGACTTCGGCGATTGCGGTTCCGTGTTCTTCTTCAGTGTGTAAGATCCCCGTTGACTTTCATTAGCCAATTTGTCGACGATCGCTTCTAATTCGGAATATACCTGGAAACATGAATATAAATGAAGAAAGCAGCTATATATATATATAGAGAGAGAGGAAAGTCCTCTATTGGGAGATAGGTTCCTAACATGAGATAGCAGGGTTTCTGCTAAATTAATAGGCATCATATGTTTCATCATGAATTTATTGCCTTTAAAGTGAAAATCCTGTTTAGTGGAAAATCATCGCTAGAACGTACAATCGTGGTGAAAAAAAGATTCGTGATTGAAGCTGGATGTTGAAAACTTACTGTCTCATATTAGAAGCCTATCTCATTAAGGTAGACTTTCCTCTATATTTAAAAAATTTGTATTCAACTCTCTATTGTTTAATTTTATAATCCAATAAAGTAACAATCAAGTTCACCAAGTCTGCTCGGAATCAGTTGAAATATAAAATTCTGCGGTATTAAATCCTGCTCGAAAGAAACATCTTTTGAAGCTCCCATCCTTGCGGCTCATCTTCATTACTTTATTAGATACCTTGGCACTTTCAGTGTGAAACACTTGCTCCGCGGCAAAGAGCGTTTGCAGATTTGTGACGAGGAAGAGAACGCGCGAGTCGAACAGTGCCGGCAGCTCGTCGTGCAGCTCGGAATTTAGCTGCTCGTATGTGCGTTTCGCCTCCTCCAGCATCTCCTTACCCCGCGACACTTTAAGCTCGTCCCTCTTCTTTGGATTGCACTGCAACGACTGGAAGTTGTGTCTCTGGCTGTCATAATCCACCAGCTTACGTCCGCGCTTGTCGACCTTTTTCTGAAAAACCGGTGAAATCCTCGAAATGTGTACAGCAGCTTGACTAATCCTAAACTGCTACTCGTCCATTCTGATCCCGTAAATATCGCACAAAGTACCAAGAGGAATTTGATAATTTTAATAATTAATAGTCCCTTTTACAAGGACAGAATAATATTATTTATTCTCTTCAAGCCGGTGATAATCGAAACGGGAACTCCGTGATTTGGTAAGAAAAACGCGCGTGAGGGGAACAAGATGAAGATTAATCAATTTAATACTAATATCCATCTAGTTGCGATTAATTAATTTTACTTTTTACGGCAAATTGAACATTTAGAGAAGAGTATTATTAGTGACAAATAAAATCAGGATTGTTTGCTCGCAATTCCATGCTATGCGGGACGTACCCTCATTTCCGGGAATTGGCTCTGATATGTGTTGAGCGGTACAAGAACCTGGTCCGCGAGCTTGTGAGTGAAATCTTGCCACAGCATGTCGAGATTTTGTGCCTGCACGTACAGCAGATCGTGTCCGGTCCACTGGCTCTCGTAGATCTCATTCAACGAGTCCATGAGGGTCTTGGACGCGGCCTGCACCGCTGCAAAAAAAAAACGTCGATTCGCCCTCGTTTACCTCGTCCACCTTTCGTTTGGCGTTTCAATTTTCATCGGCGGAACGTTATCACCGCCAACCGGACACTCGCGTGGCGATAACGACGATTCGTATCTCCGCAGCCGCGTAATGCCCGTATCAGACTAGCGATTACATCTGCGATTGTGATTGGCTAGGCAGTCATTAAAGTTTGAAATAGCCAATCGTAATCGCCGATGTAATCGCAATCGCAGTCGTTAGTGTGATACGAGCATATAGCTTTACCCCTGGTCCACAATCTTGCTTTGAGTAAGCTGTAAGATTTAAACCCGTAAGAAATTAACCAACCACAGGTGAGAGTGAGGGGAATAAATGTCTGTGATTCGTTAATCAGACACAGTCAAATATGAGAAGAATGATCGACTGTCATTGGCTGATTTCTCGCGTTGCGGCTCAGGGTCTTGCGTTTCTCGCGTCTATTGCAGAATAAACTTAAGTCCCAGTCTACAATAGATGATTTAAGCCTTAAGAAATTGACCAATCACGGTCAAGTATGAGTAGAATACGCGACTGCGATTAGTCAATTTCTTAAGGCTTTGGGTTTAAATCTCCATTGTAGATGGGCACTAACGCCAGTCGGGAGAGACGACGCGCCGTTTCGCAAGAGAAACTTTTTCACGCCGATTTTCCATCGCGGCGACACGCGTGTCTTTTTACGTTTACGGGGGGAATAAACGCGCTACGCGGGTGACTACTTTCCTGACCTACATCTAAACCTCTCCTAGTGCATTCACCTGCGGCCGATAAGCCGATTGCTTACAAATTCCTCGGCGCAAGAGTTGCAGAGCGGCTTTATCGCCTGCATCGAATTTCGACGCCCGGGACGCGGCAAAAGGAGAGACGAGAGACTAGGACGTAATCCTCGTGTAACATTTAATTTATACACGGTGTTGCAATACAATTTTTCAAAGATTTCCTCTAATTGGGCATATGTGATTTGCATTTCGCGCGTTTCAATTAAACACCTCCGAGCCGAAACATAAATGATATATTAAAACCCAGCTAACGAACAAAACCAAACGGAACACTTTGCGTAAAAAAATATCAATCCCCGGCGAACTCGGAAAAATTACAGTCGTTTCTGACACCGACGCCCACTTTATAAAATAGTTACATTTATCGGCGAGAATAATCAAGCGGTCTCACGGGCTGCATTATAAATTAATTTTAATAAGTGCCAATTTTAACGAGCGCAACTGAAGGCAGTCAACATCGTTCACGGCGCTAATGCGCTGAACTAATGTGCTCAACTAATTCGTCGTTAATGCAAATAAGTAAAGCGGCTTGCCATAATTCTCAGTACGATCGCTAGTTGCTCGGTCCAACGAGTCGTCGTCCTCGTTAGTTTCTTTTTCCTCACATCTGGAACCTGGACTAGAACGTGCGGCGATGGAAATCGCGAAAATCGTGACGAATCGCCGGCGATCGGATTTGCAACGCGTCGCGGACGCACTCTCGTCGTATATCTCGCCGCTGTCCGCGTTTTACGGTTTACCACGTTTCGCATGCGGGTATTTAACGCTGCACCGTAAAATTTCATGTCAAATTACAACCATTACGGTGATATTGGGACCAACTGTTGAAGGTGTTACATTCACATACGTCGGCGAATTTATATCTCGTAGATAAAATTGTTACCTTATACCACAAGTGATAAGCTTCATGCTTTTAATTTTTCGTGAAATGTAACCAATTATCTGCAAAATAGGAGTAAGAAAATAATTTTTGTAAAGCGTAATTCATGAATTTGTACACGGAGAGAATTTTCCCTTAAAATTTACCTTGAAAATCACGCAATCATGGGCATCTTGAACTTTGTGAAAATTTTTTGAAACTTTACATTTGATTAGTAAAATGTATGTATAAAAAATTTCAAAAAATTCTTTAGTATACATTTTACTAGTAAAATTACTAATAAAATGTATACGAAGTTTTATTACTAGCAAAATGTATTGTATGATAAAATTTCAAAAACTCTCATAAAACTCTTAAAAGTGCCGTTTTGTCCCACGATTACATGATCTTCAGTATCAATTTTAAGAGAAGATTCTCTCCGTGTACATTTCCGTTATTAATAGTGTCATTGTTGCATTTATCATTAATATAACTTTACATACTTTTTACAGCGTGCATCCCGTCCGCCGAGCGGATAAGAGAAGATCTAAAGGCCTGTGTCCACGACGCTAAAACTTGGACCAAGTTCTAGCATCGTGGACACAGGCCTTAAGAGACGCTAATGCGAGTACCGCACACTCCGCGAATTAACATCTCTGCCGAGAAAGTCGTCCGTGACGTTTGCTTAACGGGGACCAGCGTGCCCGAATTCGCCTGTTCTTTTTTGTGCGTCGATCTTTGAACCCGCGAAAATAAAAATTCAACTTCGATTTTCGCGGTCGACGACGTCGAGAAGCGTGCATATTCCCTGCGAGGCGGTGGCTATAAAAAAAACACGCGAATAACGAACGCGTCGCCGTAGACCAGCCAAGCATGGAAAAGTTGTTTGCGACTAACGTGACTCGGGTGGGAGGGATTAAAGATCGGATGACGTTTTTCTATTGATTTCGCCACGTGTCTGTCAGCCTCGTGTCAAGACTCGCCGTCGAGGTGAGACCGAGAGAGAAAGAGAGAGAGACAATGAGCGCGCGCCGTCGCACCGGGTCTCTAACTTCTAATTGCAAAACGCACAATTCCACTCGTGAAGCAGGTAGAAACCTACAGAGACCCGAAGACCCGTCAGAGAAAATGTGAAACGTCCAGATAAATCGTAAAATTTCCTGACAATTCCCGGTTTTCCAGATTTCCCTGACCACTGGACACCCTGTTTATTTACATTCATAATAATTTTAATTGACAATTTTTGATAATAACTTAAAACTGCCAATAAATTGAAACTTATGATTCATGGTACAATCATAGAAATCGAATCTTCAGTGGTTCGATTCGACTCGAATTCCAAGCGACTCGCACACCTCTACACGATGTATACGTTGCGCGATTAATTAGGCTATAATTTTTTACATTATAAATCACAAATTATTATTTATGAAAACCAAGTGCGGCGCGAGAATTGACCTGCCGTTGAAATTTGGGGCGATACAAGTCGAGTATTTGCCGCGCGAGATAACGATCTCTCTTTACCGTAGCCGCGACACTCGAAAAGCCAGATGTGCGCGAGAGCTGCCCGTATCAATTTCCAACTGTATCTTATCGATTGCAGAGCTGACGCGGCACGCCGGGCTACCGTCTTATCTCTGAAATATTTAACAATCGCGGTAAGGCCGCGCGCGCCACTTAACATTTCGGTCGCACGCCGGGCGCGAAAAATCGTGGCGCACCGCGCGGAGAGCAATTCCTTCCTGCCGACTTGCCTCAAAGGTCGTTTCGCACGTGTCGTACACCTCCGCGGTGCATTACCGAATATACAGGCGATTAAAATATTACGTCGATACCGACTGACAGTAATTGATGTCCCGCGCGCGAAACCGCCGGGTCGTTATTCAACGTCGAGTTATTCATCTGTCCGTCATTCATCCGCGCGCGTTGAGAGTGTCGAGACGGACGGCGAAAATCATTTCCCCGATTGCCGACGACAGTCTTCGTCAAGTTAACAGAAACACGCGGATTCCCCGCGTGCCTAGCAATGCCGATCGCGGGACGGCCGCATCTCACCGCGAGCTTGAATTGGGCGGTAGGCCGGGCTAAGCCAGCGATTTTTAATAATTAATTACTCGTTAACTATTGCGAAAATTGCAAAGTGGTAGACTTTTCGACTCAGTCTAGTCCGCTCTATCCGTAAATATGAGGTGAGGCGGGTATTACATAACACCCTGTATATTTACGCAACTTCGAAATTGTTTGTACTCTTTTTATCCGCGTGCGGCGTGAAAATTTGGTTACACCCAGAAAAAAGATTTAGTTAGGTTAAACAAATGAGATACGTTGAAATCATACTTCTTTGAATCCACTACATTTTTATTTACTTTTACTAAAACAATTGCTAGATGTGAAGAAATAGGTATGATTTCTCCTAGAAATTCCATTCCCCATCGAGTAAAACTTTGGTTAAGGCAAAGAAATCATTTCTTTGAAATTAATCGAAAGTCCAGCAGGGTCAAAATTCAAGCAAATTTCTTTGATATCAAGCAAACTTTTTGCTGAGTGTACCCGCGTATTCCTTCTGTTGTCGACATTTATATAATTTTTACATGGCAACGAGGAGAGATTACGCGCCGAGGCATACAAATCAACTGTGAGCTAAGCACGTATCGATAGCAGCATTTATCTCAATCCTTGCAAAAAAGAGAGGACAGAGTACGAAGTTACGGAGCAAATAATTCAGCCTCCACGTGAGCTTGGCAACCGGGTCACGGCGCGGCGGTGCAAGGTTGCGCGAATATTTCTTCTCTCTTTAAAGCCTGATCTACAATGTGCTCTTTGTGCCCGGAAACATTCTACTTTATAGCCAATAAATACGTTAAAAAAACTTGCGCAAGTTGACAAATTGTACATTACACGCTGTGCGTCGCCGACAAATTTCTCATGCGTTTTAATTTACTCTAGATGCAAGGAGCGCGTTGTAAATCAGGCTTAATGCGCGTTGCGTTTCGCACGGGTTTGTTAATTCGCTCCTACAAATACGCGACGAATTTTACGTACTACTTACATCACGCGGATGTGTTACGACAGAAACCAAAAAAAAAAAAGATCGCTCGGAAGACTCTCTCTCCTCGAGAATTCGTGAAACAACGGGTATTTTAATGAATTTCAATTTTTGAAGAAACTGATATACATTAATACGCTTTCTAATTAAATTTGTGCAGCGAGAAGAAAACGTACGTGAGTGATTAAAGAACTCATAACTGAAAGAGAATTGTAATCTTCAAACTTTGGGTTTGAATTACAGAATTACAGAAATTATACTCGGGACCTTAACAGCAGGTGAACAGCTATCGTCGCTTCTACCGTCTGCAGTTTGCAATTACGTAACACGAAATTTTACATCTGTCTAATTGTCACGAATACGTTGTTAAATAAGCGCTTACGTAAAATCCTAATGCCCAATCAATGCCCGGCCTGTTCCAGGCGCTGAATAGATAATTAAACGTGCAATCGTTCAAAAGATGCTTAACCGCGACGACGCATGCCACATACTATACACGCATTGGAGACTCCTATAAAGAATCTCTTTAGAGCGCACCGTTAAAATCTACGCAAACTTAAGCATCCGATTTATCGCGTTTTCCCTCCGCACCGCGCGCGAAACAATTAGCGCGACCGCTATTGACTGGTCTAAAGGGTAGACGAATTAGTTTCGCTCCGCGGGACGACTTACCTCGAACACACCTGATGTAATTGTTGAACTCCTTTTGCAGTCTGTTAGCGGAGTTCTGCTGCCTCGTGAAGTTCTGCAGGTGCTCGTCGAATATGTCGTCCGCGGTTCGATCGACCTTGCCCAGATTCTGTAGAAACTGCAACGAGAAAAAGAGGCGCCTTCAATCTCTAGCCGTTCGCCTTTACGTATTAATCATGCAGCCGCACGTATCGATCCGAGGTGAAATTAATATAATTTATAAAAATTATAATATGCAATAAAATAATAACGGAATGCCACTGAATATACGTTCTATAATGGATGTGACGTAATTTATGCAAAAGATTGAGAGGCGCATAAAAGAGCGAAGCCTTTAGACGACGCTCCTACGAATAAATAACGGTAAAGTCGATAAAACATCGTTTATTGAATCACATTCGTATAATCGGAAGGCTTCCTGACGGAGTTGAATGAAACCCGGTGCGAGTGAATTTTTGCGTGGGTCGCTTTCCACAAATGTTAGCCCTACGTAGGCGTTACGTAAGATGCTCAATTTTTCTCCCTCAGACTTTTCAGTCGGATCAAAATTCGACTATCAGAAACGTCATCTTTTTAATCTCGAATGTATCGGTTTCCGTATTTTCGTTTACTGTTATCATTCTCGAAGAAATAATAGTGAGCGACACACCCACATACAGTACATGTAGTATGCGTGTGTTGCTCACTATTATTTTTTATTAGACTTACAAACTTAGTTTCAGTGATGCCATATTGTTCTTTAGTTCAGCCGGAAAAGCAAGCTGCTTTCGATCTGTATACATGTAAGCCATTTAATTTGTATATTACACAAATGTTTCCGCGAAACAGGCAGTTTTAAGTGCCAAAGGTGCAAAAGTGCAGAATCGCTCCAGCATCCCCTTAAATTCTTAGCCAGTAAAATAATCTGTACAGCATCCATGCGGATCATTTTTTGGGTAAGTATCTCCGTTAAAAGAGAAATTTTTCGATCTACGCCAACAAAAAACTCCACACTCGCAGGCCTCGCGAGTGCGTATCGAATGCAACATTTTTCGTAGGGTTGACTACAACAATGCGGGTAAACGTATGGCCGTCGCAAATGAGGCCTTTGAACCGCGCTCGTCACGAAACGATAAACACCGTCTGCATTATCATCGCGCCGCGTGGAAGATCTATGATAATCGCGCACCTTATATCGCGCCTGTTACTTAAACTTTAATTAACATGATCTCACGGACGTTACGTACATTAATATAAAAACGTCAAAGCTGAGAAGCATCAGGTAGCTCGCGTTTATTCCGGGTGTTAAAGTATTTCCTACGCTTCGTGAATTCATTTATGAGATGCATAATGACCGACACGACGTTAAGCCTTACGAATCAGTTTCGCAAAGTAAAAAAAGCGCCGATAAATACCGACAAAAATAATAAACAGGATGTTCGTCTCGCCGAATGCGTGAAAATTATATATATATATATATATATATATTCGCGTAACTTTCTCGGCTGCTGCTGCTGCCAGGTTAATAAAGAGATCTATCGGAGCCTCCGTACTCCACTGCCATTGTTATCGGCAATAAGGCGCGACGATGTGAAAGGATGCGGATGATGTAACAATAGCTATCGACCGCGGAGAAATTTCACGCCGGGAATGCCATTCGTCGATTTTCATTTAGCTCCGTGGCACCTGTACGATGATCTTCGATGACGAGAAAGTAGCCTCCTCGGGAAATCATTTAAAGGAGCTGCGCGATCAGCGAGGTCACGAGGATTCGATTGATTTTCAGATTTCGATCATGACATTTACTATAAAATGTATGGCACGGAAAAAGAAGAGAGATTATATATCAGATTAGATTTGCCCAAGATCATACCTTACATATTTGGAAGGTATCTTACTTTATATTTAAAAATACGTTCGAAATTAGAATACTTTATTATTAAATTCCCCAAAAAATTGTTACGCTTTTTATTACCGCCAGTTTTAAAAGTTGTTAGGTAAAGACTAGACCTAAAATTGTATTTTACATAGGAATACTTTATATTTAAAATTAGACTGTTCGACTATTGGATTCAAGAAATTTTCTATTACAACCAATTTTACCGGTAAAAAAATATCAAGTATTCAATTTAAAAAATAATAGCAAGCAGCGCATTTCTAAAAGCTATTCAAGATGCATATCCCCTCTGTCTTTTTCATCTGATGCGGCAAAAAAAGTAGCTGATACTTCAAAGATTAGAAACAACGTGGCGAGGAAGATGCTGCCGGCGCCCATGTCGGCCGTCTCTCTTGGGCTGGGCCAGAAATCAAAGACTGGAACGTCCGTGATGGAAATCGCGAGTCGGTCATTGCGTAACCCACCTCTATCGCCGACTGACTCCGTTCGCGAAGCCGGTGATCTGTCCGCGGAGGCGAGAGGTACGCCGACCTTCTGCCGTGCATGCGGACCGTCCCCGCTCTCCTCGCCCCGTCTCGGGGAAACAAGAGGAGGAAATCGCGCGTCGCGTTGTATCATCCAGTAATTTCCGTTCTCCAGTTCCCCGGGAATTAATCGCGCCGGTTGCACGCGGCGCGACTCTTATACTGCCAGCCAGTCGGAACGACACACGTCAAACTAGTTCAAGCCTTCATCGGTCTAACCTTCCGTTGTCTAACGTGACCTCGAACCGGCATTATCGCGAATTTGCAAATTGTGGACGGTTAATGTGCAACGGACTCAAGCATCGCGCGAGATGAATCTATAATACATTCAGGACGAGACCAACGAGATTAATTAGGATTTTTAATTCATTGTTCCCAGTTTGAGTTAAACGTCTACGAATGAGACTTACCAACGGTATACGATACTATTTTTCCTACCGGATTGCTTACGAGAGCCAATCAGGATTCAGCCTTAAATCACCTGATCTAAAATTCTGCATCCTTATTGGCTCTTGCAAGAAATCCAGCAAGCAAAATAGTATCGTGTGCCGCTGGCTTTAGATCAGGTGGCTTAAGGCTAAAGCCAACGACACACGGTGCTGTTTTCCCCACTGGACTGCTTACGAGAGTCAATAAGGATGCAGAGTTTTAAGCCAACAGCACACGATACTATTTTTCCTACTGGATTGTTTACGAGAGCCAATCAGGATTTAGCCTCAAGTCACTTGATCAAAAACTATGCATCCTGATTGGCTCTCGTAAGCAATCCAGTAGGAAAAATGGTATCGGGTGCCGTTGGTTTTAATTTTCTTCCGAGGAAGTTTGTCGATCGGCGAAGTTATATCAACCGTAAAGGCAATGGCATGTTCTTTATTTATCTGTCTTATCTCGATAATAGAATTATCATATGATGATGCATAACGATATAACTCCTGAAATCGATACGTATAGAAATGGATATGTAATACGCTTTCATCTTTATCGTGCATACGAATCTTTACGGACCTAAGCATTCATCGAAATTATTGATTGCCTGACGTATCGATCAACGATTTAAAAACGTGGCATCGCAGCTGCGACATTAATTATGGAATTTCCACTTTAATTACCTTTATTCGACGAAGCAGTTGATAAAACGCATGTGTTGCACGCGCGTCCGGCATTTCGCCCGCTATCAGAGGCATAAACGTTTAGATTAATTCTTTCAACCGTCTCTATGGTGTTATTAAAGGCGGTTAACCCGCGCAACGATGTTATTTATCGCCTTATTCTGACAGAGCGGTCATTTATAAAGAAATTGCATTTTGTGCCGAGGTACAAAACTGGACGCCAATTTTCCTGATATTAAACAAAGTAAATAATGGTACGATAATAATATAATGTTACACGTTTTGTTACAATCGCACGTAATTAGCGAGATAAACTACGAAAGAAACTTTTAATATGAATCGCGACAGGCCTGCGAGACTCGGTTCTCGTTCAGGAGAGTGAGAGATTAATCCTATTAACTCGCTCGTGCACTTTCAGGTCAAGATCATCCTGTCTGCCATATATAATTTTCTCGTCGTAACTTTAAAGGTACTGTTCGCTGCTACGATTTCTATCTCGTTCCATAAAATTAAGACAGCAAGCTCGCTTTTAAATGAAAGCGGTTACACCGCACATACATCATTCCAAGAGATTTAACGCAGAAAATTCGGATTAAACCTCACGGTATCCATCTCGATCGTCTCGTCGCATAGGCTCGAGCGGGGGGGTAAACCGCTGACGGCATTGTGGTGTACAGATTTGCGGCAATTACTACACGGAGAGAAGTTTCTCTGAAAATTTATCCTGAAAACCGTGGGACAACACGGCATTTCGAAGAATTGTATAAGTTTTTGAAATTTTACCATACCTTTAATTATACTTAGTGCATATTTTACTAGTAAAATGTATGGCAAAATTTCAGAAAACTCTCATAAAGTTCTTCGAAATGCCACGTTGTCCCACGATTACATGATTTTCAGGGTAAATTTTAAAAGACAATTCTCTCCGCGTAGGCATTGGTGTACACGATTTCGGTCAGCGGTTTACCCCTCGGGCACGAGGGCTAACGTTTAAATGACCGGGCACGTAAAATGACGTGATATGCCCCGTGACAATAGGATATATTTGGACAAAGAGAAAAGAGACTAGAGCAACGCGAGATAATGCAGCGTCTGTTGTCTTCGACATTTAATATCTTTTATGAATCATCGTCCATAGAGACAGTGCTCTCATCGCGAGATAAGCCCCGTACGGCCTGCGTATTATATTAACGGGGCAGCAAAAATAATGTTATCAGAGTGAGTCACGGCGGTGACTGCCGCGAAAAATTTCGCCCCGCAAGTCGCACTCGCAGACACGCGGCAAACATAAGCAGATATACCACATCCTATCGGTTATACGGTATATCGGCTGTACCGTTACGCATCGTGATACTTGTTTCGCGAAATATTTGTTTTATGAAAGAACGCGAAACTCGTTAGCGCACAAAGATGTGCATACCTCCGCGGTGCAATCAATACGCTGGTCGTTATCGAGCCTGATCTAAATCCACGAGGAGTTTACGTGTATCTCTCTCTATCTCTCCCCGATGTGTTCGCCGAGGATCATTCAGTGAAAATTGCATATCTCGCGTGTGAAATCGGCCACGACTCTATCGCAACCTTTACGAGAGGGAGATTAATGCACGCA